CTGAAACGCGTCGATTTTTACAAAGCTCATCGTTCTGAAAAGAGAGGTGTGATCTGATTGGCCAACTATTTAGTGCGTTGTGATTGGCCGAATTCCTCATGCGTGTGACGGAAATGTTACGCCCCTCACCATACTGTGCTGCCCTGTCCGGCTGGAGCAACGACACAAAAACATTAAAACCCATTATAAACGAGACATTTGTTGCATCCAGTGGGGACATAATTACTGATTATAATAACTTATACTGTCTTTTTATGCGTTGCGTCTTTGCGTATACATTTGGGCGGTGTTATGCAAATCTTCCCACACAGTGATGTAGACATGTGGGGGCGTGTTAGAACGAGGCGTTTTAGGAGGGCGTGGACAAGTCTTAACTTTTATAAAGAATATCTCTTTGGGTTTGAGATTTGAGTCTTTGCAACTTTAGGGATATTATCTATTCACGGACAACTTGTAACACTCCAAAGAGAAAGGAAAACTTGAAATCACATCATACGACCCCTTTAAAATTTAAGGATATTTAAATTAGTATCTATTTTGTTGGCATGAATGAAACTTTTAGTAACGTCAGGTTTTCCCCCAGTAAAATATTACAGATAAATCCTAAAGAAAGAGATCACCATATACAGACAGAATCATTTTCCTTGACAATATTTCATCAGTTGTTTAATGTGTATTTTCTATTAGCTGTTTAAATTCAGAACTAGCGATGCCTGTTTGGCAAATTAATCACTTTTTTATCTAATTTGTCGGTTTGCACAAAATTGAATTTGTTTGCATTTCTGTTTGATTCGTTAGAATGGTTGATTCATGCACTGAATCGTTTGCAGAGGATATTTTAAGACAGAAAAAAGAGCACTGGATGAGATGGATATTTACTTCTTTTATGGGTGTGCCCTTGATCTGACTTTTTTTTTTTTTTTTAATTAGACCAATGGTCAAGTAGGAGTTTAAAATTTTGTTTTACAGAAAATTCATCATGGAAAATTGGAAAATGACATCAGGGTGCACTTGACTCAGTGTGAGCCAAGGATTCAGAGGCAAAAAATTGTTTCTAGCCCTTAAGGTTAAAAAAAATAAAAATTTGCATAAACATGCAGCTTTGAGCTGTAGGTGATGTTTGAAGGTTTGAAATAGAGAATCCAACCTTGGTATGGTTAATGTTCAGAATGTCCTATCTGTGTGCAAAATTTCACGACTTTTTACCATACAGTTTTATGGGCTGCTATAGACTTCCATGGCAGAAGAAGAACACTAATGATTACAGCTATTTATGCAAATATAGTTATCATTATCGTTATAGTTACTGTTCTTGTGTGAACTGGCCTTAAAAATAAAACTTTGCGGAGCTCCAAACACCAAACTCAGAACCATGCATGCAGCAACAAAACAGCAAAAAATGTAGCCAAGCACAACAGTAGATGTTTATGTTTTAAAGTAAGCTAAAAAAAAAATGATCTATTTGTTTTATTGCAATTTTATTGAGGAAGTATCAAACTTGAATTTTCTGTCAACTGCCTGTTACAACTGTCATTTAGGTGCCTTGCCAAATATTATTTATCATTTACCTTAGATGAGAAGTCAAAATTAATTATTTCATACTCAGACTGCAAGTGATCATTTAGGCATTTTGCATTTTGTTGTTGTTATAGCTCAACTCTCAGCTCCAAGTTGAAGAATGAAAAGTGTCAGTGGTACCTTACAGAAAACAACCATGGGAATAACATGATATGCTTTAGCTGAAAAACAATACTTGCCCTATATTCAGGATTTTATTGCATGATAAAAACACGCACAAAAGGCCCTGCCCATACCATTTCTACTGAAAGGCAAGAGGTGGGGTCTGCTTAGCCTTTATAGCCAGGATTACTCGAGTTGATGTTAACACATCTTCCTCAGACTACAGTCAAAAGACATCAGCAGAAATGAGGGGTGAGATGACTATAAATGTGTTTAAATTAAATTAAATCAAAGCCTTCAACCTGTATATAAATGTGTTTTTATGTACATATGAATGTACATAACTTTCTTTTATGTGTTTTAGCCCTTGCAATCATAAGCCTCTTGGGATGTGCATTTGGAGAAGACAGGGTTTTTTCCTGGAGTGGTGGAAACGACAGCCAAGTTGACGCCAATGAGAACGGTGACTTTAAAAAATAATAATATTTTAAAAAACGACAACGACAATTCTTGCATCAGGGTAGTGTGCAATTATGATGCTTGTCTCTTTGCCTCTGAAGCATGTCTGACTGATGTGGTGTCATGTGGGTGCTGCCTGATGAAGAAGCAGATGTGGAAGCTCGAGATGTTTTTCAACATGACATTAAATGAGCTACAGAGGAACCTGGAGAGAGCTCATTCAGTGTTAAACAATATTCGTGGTGAGACAACCATTTGTAGCAATCTTGTTTGCCTGTTTCTTGCACTTAATTTAAATATCTTTATACCTTTTATCAAATTTAGGTTTCAAAATTACCTGATAGCATTGTTACTTATTATAATGTTCAGAATATTTAGAATATTCATAATGTAGCCGACAGTGATGGAATCATAATTTACATACTAAACTGCAATTGGTCTTATTCGTTTCATCTATTTGCATATTAAATTATGATTAGTATTTTACTTGTTATATCTCTTTAACCATCTATAGCCATCATTTATAGAGCAAAGATAGTGTGTTAACTCTCTCACACAGTCAACAGAAAACAGGACACATATTGAGTGGCATAACAATGGCTGCAATGTAGATTTAATTAACTATTAAAAAAGTCTAAAACATGAAACCTACTTAAAATGTTAACTTTGTTCTACTATCTTCTTAGCACTGCTATGTTTTTCAGAAAGACCAAAATATTTTATTTAAAACTTAACAAGTCTGTTTCCCTTTTCTTATGTTTGCACAGCCAGTCGCAGTGCCTTCTCTGTGGCTCTTACTGAGACACGCCTCTGTATCGGCCCAAATCGTGAAGACTCTGTGGTGAAGTATAGCAGCGTATTTGTTAACTTGGGAGATGGCTATAGCCCTGACACTGGTGCCTTTGTAGCACCACGTTCTGGCATCTACAGCCTGGCTTTAACAGTTTATAGTGATGCTGGCGCTCCTGGAGCCACATTGGCTGCTTGTGCTCGACTCCAACTGAATGGGAGTACTATTGCATCACCAAGTGAGAACAACCTTCAAGACCAGGAGGACAGCGCTAGTGCTGTGCTAGCTGTTCAGCTGCATGCAGCGGACAGAGTGGATGTTGCTCTTCCAGCCGGCTGCTTTCTGTGTGACAATAACAACCACTACAATACTTTCACTGGGTTCCTGCTCTATACAACTGATTAAAATAGAGAGAACAAAAACTGTGTTTGAAATGACCTACTACACAGTGTACACCGTACATTACACAAAAAAATAAATAGTATAAAATACAATATTAAGTATGCAACAGTTACTTAAAGTTGATCTTGTTGTATGGTACTTTGTGATTTCAGTAGTGCAAGAATGGTATATTGTGATTTCAAATGTTTCCTTTGTTCTCTCTGCCCATAAAATATTTCTCTGTCCACAACACCCTGCATATCTACATGTTAAAACGACGTATAACTTTCAATATGATGTCTGATTAATAAATTCTAATTTGTTTTAATGCAAAGAACATATTCAAAAATACTGCTTTTGTTTTGAAATAAACATTGTGGTTATTTTGCTCTGACACCTTCACTTGACCTTCACATCTACATCATAATCTCTTACCCAAAAAGCAATAGTCATCAGTTCAGCTGACACTGAAACAGTTCATTTTGCATTGATTGGATCACATTCATTTAATGTTCTAAACCATGACATATTTTCTTCAGTTAGAATATATTCTGTAGCAATACTGATTCAAGTATTAAGTTTGTTCCACTGTTTCGATTTATAATGCCAAAAGTAAAATAAAAATATATTATTAAACACAAAATTAATTGTGTGTGTGTGTATAGATAGATAGATAGATAGATAGACAGATAGATAGAGTTGTGCTCAAAATTATTCATACCCTTGGTAAATATGATAAAAGAAGGCTGTGAAAATAAATCCGCATTGTTTATCCACTTGATCTTTCATTCAAAAAAAAAAAAAAAAAATATCTAACCTTTAATTAAAGTAAAAAAGTGGGGGAAAATCACATTATGAAATAAATATTTGTCTCTAATATGGTAAGAGGATGTGTGTCTATATTGTCCTAATGCACGGTGAGGAGAGTTTGAGTGGATCCCAGCTGGAGAACTGCAGAAAATAGTTCTGAAAATAGAAAATAGAAAATAGAGTCTTGGGGTCAGAAAGCCTAAAAAAACAACAAAAAAAACAATGTTGTTTGGGAGGGGTTCAAGAAAAAAATAGAAAAGAAAACGCTCTCTTCCAAAAACAAACTCCAGCATATTTATTTGCTAGACACGAATGGAACTTTAAACGGGACTGGGTTCAATGGTCAGACGAAACAAAAAAAAAAATTAGCTTTTTAGCAGCAAACACTCAAGATGGGTTTGGTGCACACAGGGATAAAGCCATGTGTACAATGAAATATACTGCTGGATCTTTAATGTTGTGGGCCTATTTTTCTGCCGGAGATCCTAGATATCTTGTTCAGATAGATAGCATAATGGATTCTATAAAATATCAATGGATAAAAAATTAAAAACTGACTGTCCATGCTAGAAATCTTATAATGGGCCATGGTTGTATCTTCCAACAGGAATATGATCCACAAACAAACATTAAATCAAAACAAAAATGGGTCACTGAGAACAAAAGCAAGCTTCTGCCCTGGCCAACCCAGTTCCCTAAGCTGAACCCTATAGAAAATCAGTGTGGTGAACTGAAGAGGAGAAGCATCAACATGCAGCTGTGAATCTGAATCAGAGCTGTTCTCTTGGCAAAAGTAGGTTGCAAAATAAAGTATTGGATAAAAGGGTATGATTAATTGTGACCAATGTGTATTAGAGATACAATGTGTATTCTCCAATGAAAGGTTAGATTTTAGTACATTTTTAAAATAAAATATCTAAAGGATTGATGATAAAGATTAATTTTAACAGCCTTCTTTGATCATATGAATCGTATGAATACTTTTGAACACAACTCTAGATAGATAGATAGATAGATAGATAGATAGTTTTTTAGCAAATAGACTTGTTAGCAAATACTACTGTCGCTGTCGTCCGAAGATGGTCCTTGGGAGGAATTCACCGCCTTTGTGGAGTGGACTCTGGTGAGGAACGGGTCGCCACTCACCATCTGCCCCGTGGATGATCTCACCAGATCCACTCTGGTCCCAGAGCCCAGCCCACCATGAGCCCAACCTGTCAGACCAGGTGCGACAGCCGGCGACAGTGCCCACCACGAGGGAGCAAGCCGTGGACGGTGTGAGCGCGGAGTGGAGCTCCGCACCCTGCGTCGCGGTTGAGGGTGAGCTGAATATGGCGCGGCAAAAGGGCCAAAACTAAGAGGGGAGGTATCCAGCCCCCGTATCCAGCTCAGAGCGCCCTCCAGTGCCCACTCCTAGAAAGCGCCCTCCAGTGCCAGCTCCTCGTAAGCGCCCTCAAGTGTCCGCTCCTCCTGAGTGCCATCCTGTTCCCGGTGTGAGCGCGGAGAGGAGCTCCGCCCCCTGCACCGCGGCTGAGGGTGAGCTGATTATGGCGGGGCATAAGTGCCAAAAGGACGAGGAAAGGGTTCCAGCCCCTGAATTCAGTTCAGAGCGCCCTCCAGTGCCCGCTCATAGAAAGCGCCCTCCTGTGGCCGCTCCTTGAAAATGCCTGCCCTCCCACCCGCTCCAGCCTCCTCCACTGCTGTCTTCTGGAAGCCCCTCAGCTCACCCTCAGCCCACCATCATTGCGGTGCGAGCCCCGCGGGACTGCCATCCTCCAGCGTCGGTGAGGTTTGAGTTTCCCTCACCTCCACCTCCAGCCTATGAGGCCCGGACTCCGCTTCGGCCCGTAGACCCAGTGGCTCCACCTCGGCTCCTAGCTCCCTCGCCTCCACCGTCACCCGTCGATCCATCAGCTCCACTGGGCTCCCTCGTCCCTCCGGCTCCGCCTTGGTCGGGCGTCGACCCTCCATCGCCTCTGGACTCCTCTCCTCTGGCTGCGCCTCATTGCTCCGTCCCACCGGCTCCGTTGGACTTCTTCCTCCCGCCAGCTCCACCTTGGTCCTCAGTCGCTCTGGCTCTGCCGCGGATCTCCGGCTCCCCGCCTTGGTCGCCAGAGCCCTTGGCTCCACCCTGGCCCCCCGGATCCTAGGCATCCCCCTGGATCATTGGCTCTCCGTCTCCGCCTCGGGCTCCTCCACCAC